ATGTTTTGCTAGCTTGACGTTAATTGCATGACGTGGTCACTTTGGAATATTAGTCATAGCACATTTCAGATGTGACTTGCATTGCAGAACGCACAACTTTCATTTAAACTGTTAAACAGACCCTATAAGGGCCGTTTGTCAGACACTGGGCCCCTATCTATTTTTTCTAAGCATTTTGGTCAAAGAGCAGACGCAGACCCTTCATTAAACAGATTACATACTGTCTAGCACAGCAGGGGTATTGCCTAGTAGGCCACTGGTGGGGGGCTAAAAAACACAACCGCTGGTGGTTGATTGCATGTGCCTATCGCTGTGAGAAACATTCTCACACCTCACGCCCACATGAAAAAGCAACCCTCCTCTGGTCTCCTTTCACTGCTTTATCTGAAACCCCTGTGCTTCATGCCTGACAGCAACACACACCACTCGCCAGATGGCTTTCTAACTGAAACCTCAATGAGAATGTGGTGATGCGCATCTCGTCAAGGAATTAAAATGCCCCCATCATTCTCAAGTCCACCAGGTCCCTTTGGGGGTGTGTGGGGGGGGGGGGGGGGGGGTGAGCACGGCATGAATGCGATTTGGAAAAATGTGATTCCCAATAAGACCAATGTGTAATTAAAAGCTTGTCCTTCGATGCATTAACGGCCATGAAGAGGAGAGCGAGCAGTGCTTCCAAAGTCTCAGGAGCTGAGAGAGATTTGAATGTAAACAAGTCCGTTAAACATTTTCTAACAAGCATGCAGATTGGCACAGCTGTCAGATGGCTTCCTGCCTGTTGGTGGGAATGGTGCTGGCTTCCGTGAACTGTAACTCACTGGACTGACAACAGGTGTTAAACCCTGCGCCACGGCCGCCCTACATGTTACTAATCCCAGGAATAAGCAGTCAAGAAGCAGTCAAGACTGAAGAGGGTGATGTACGCTTTTCAGAACAGTTTCGAATGAATAACATTTCACTGCCATCCCAAATGCGACAAATAAACATTGAAATTAACCGTCAAGATTATGACAACAACCTGTAATTACAGCGCATACAAATAATAGCAAATGCAATCAATCAACAAAGTGTGATTCACATACAAATGACTCTAAGCAACTGTTCTTTTGTGTGTCAGTCAGATATAATCACTTAAAAGGCACATATTTGCCCCTTTTTCAACACTTAAAAAGGTCTTAAAGTGTCTCCAGAATTTGTCTGTAAAGTTTCAGCTCAAAACACCTATCGGATTATTTATTATACATTTCAGAATATAGAAGTTTTCTGATCTGAACAAACTGTAGCTGTTGCCTGTGCCTTTAATGCTAGTTCTCCCTGTCCACCGTTCCTATGTGCCTGTCAGAGTGTGCCTCAATTTGTGCCTCAGCTGCATCAGATAAACAGTACAGTGACAGACATGAAGGAAGCAGATCTCTGGTAACGTTTGTGAGAAATACTACTGTAAGAATTTTCCCAATGATTATTTGATGGATTTGTTGTGGAGTTAAACCAAGCCTTTCTGAAATGATGAGGCTAAAATAAGAAATGACAAACAGCTTTTTGGACTTCCAAAAGTTTTTGCTCATAAATGGGGGAAAGTTCAAGAAATTGGCTAAAAACGTAAAAAAAAAAAAGGAAGCATAACCATTTATTGAATACATCCATGTCTACAAACTTTTTTTGAACGTGATAATTAGTTTGACAGCACCAATAAAGATGATATACAGGCCTAGCTATGGGTATAAATATGTTGATGTGTTATATAATAATCAGATACAAACACCAACACGCTTATACAAAATCCAGCAGAACATAAATGACTGACCCTGCCATGTAATCGCTTTGCAATAATCTATAAGTTTACTGCCGTTTTGGTGGAATAAACAACCATAATGTTAACATCTATATGCGCAGCAGTGGTGAATGTTTGTTGATGGCAAGTTCATCGACCAAGTAAAAACAAATGCAACCCTTGCAACAAAACTAGACCGTTACTACTGTGGAGCACCTTTTCCCTCTTACAAAAATAAATAAATAATAATAATGTAATAAATAATAATAATAATAAATCACAAAAATATGGACTTTCCTCAGTGTCTCCCATTCATTTTTTTTTTTAATTCCTGCCCTCCATCTGAATTTCACGCGTCTCCAGAACCACGTGATTGAAAACAACCTAGATGCATTAAAGGCATACTCCCCAACCCTCCCCAACATTCTCCCTTGCTTCCTAAATGGCATGGCGGGCCAAATAAAAGGTTACCATAGGCCTTTCTGCTTAAAACACATTCAAATAAAAAAAAATCACTCTATTAGGACTCATATTGTAAAACATGGTTGCTGGTCATAATAACCATAACTCAACATTGCAGATTCTGCGATATGATTACATTGCACAGATGTGCACATTGCAATATCGATGCTAAACCAATATATTGTGCATCCCTAATCCATAGGGAATCATTTAATCATTATAGCCTGTGTTAAAGACCAAACGGTCTTTTATGTAAGCATAAAATTGTGACATTTCTAAATAATATTAATATAAAGTCTGAAAACACATCATGAAGTCCTGTAAAACTGTAGTAAGGAAAACAGCCCGGCAATCCTTCACAGCTCAAAATCTCCACAGAGATTTCACGGGTCATAAACAGCTCCCTTTTTCTCAGCCTCCAATGTCACCACCGCCACATCTCAATTGTCTTATTTTACATTTAAGTTAGACATTTGGCCTTACAATTGTTAATCAGCACAAAAAAAACTTTGATCTAGGCATGGGACGATAACGGTTTTTAACTGTTGGTATTTGTACGATTTTTTCTTTCATTCTTTATTAATTAATTTATTTATTTATTTATTTATTTTAGGACAACAGTATCTCCAGCAGAAAAAAATATTCAGAGATGCCATTTTAAATTGAAATTAAATCTCTGTTTTTTTAAACAAATGAAGACAGCAGAAATCAGTGATTCATTAAATTATTAAGCCTGACATGTTTACTGCTCTAAAATATTATAAATCTTTCAAAAAATAAAATATATTGAGTTCAAAGGGGAAAAAGTTTTTATTTTTTACCAAGACATTTAAAAAGAATATATATAAAGCAGTAATCACAATACCGTGATACCATGATATTTTTATACAAGGTTGTCGTACTGTCTGAAACTTATACCAGCCCATGCCTGCTTGAATCCTCACTGCACCAGTAGTTTGTCCTTTGAAATCACTGTTACTTTGCATTTCCCGAGTAATTAGCGAAATAATCCAAATATTAAAAATGAGAAATGACAAAACTCCCCTCACCTCTTGCCACCGCTGACCCTGTGCTAATTTCACAGGCAAAACGAACATGTACACGTGCGTGATGAATTAGGGGAGAGTCGCACTGGTGTGGTCTGTCTGCTTTTATCACGGGAGAGATTAATCAAAGAGAGGAATGTGCATTCATATCAGTGCTGCATTCCTAAGGTCGCCAAAAGCAACAAGAGTAATGGCATCGCTGTGATACGAGGGATGTTTTACACTTGAGGCTATGCTGCAGCTAGACTGTAGTCTTTTAGGTAGGAGTCAGGCTGGTGATTATTTGCTAAATCTGATCTGATGTATTTGACTTTGCAGAGCTTAGATAATTTAATCCACAAAATCCTATTAAAAACTAAAACAGACTACATGCACGGAGACAGATTGCACATCGCTGCAAAGGTAATACACTGTGCAAACAGTAACCGACTCCAATAGCTTTTAAACAGACTGGAATGGATTTGTGACACTGTTATTTCTACTGTAAGTGAGGAACGGCAATGAAGACAGATTGATAGTTCTTATCCAGAATACAGCAAAATGTGGTGTGTTTTTCCTGAAATGTCTGCTACAGTCAGTGTGTAGTGTCCTGATGTGGTGAGTTCTGTAACCACTATCTTGGCAGCCAGGACTCACTAGTGTTTACGAGGGCTGTTTTACAACACAGTAATTTTCCACCTCCATCACTGGAGAAAACACAAACATGCAGAAATCGAAAACGACACAAACATTGACACATTAAGTCCTATCTTCCACCTGAGCAACAAGACTTTAACATGATTAACATAGTTTTGTCCAAAATATTTAATTTACTTTAGTAAAAACTGTGGTAGCTGTTTAAGCCATTTTCACTGCTTCGACTTTTTGTTTGCACATAATTAAATTAAATATAATATGTTTACCATGTTAATATCAAAAAGACTTGCAACCAATTTCACAAGACCACAGAAATGCTGTAAAACTATTGAGGTGTTCACACTTTAAATGTTGTCGTTGTTAACCCAGGTAAAATTAATCTTGGCTTGTTTCAATATATCACACTCTCCATATATTTTCCTAAGCGGTCAGGTTTCCGATACCTGACACTGTAAAACTGTAGCTATATTTGTAAACTTTGGGTTAGCTTACTTAGTTGCACTGATATGATGCTAATAACACTGGTTTGAGGGAGTAAAATTACATGTAACTTGATTTAAAAAAGTAAACGCTTGTCAACTGGTGGAAGTATCACCATCTTCTGTGTGCTTGAATTAACCTGCTGAAGCATACTTGTTACTCAGTTAACTGTTCAGCATTTTAGCTATAACAGCACGTCAAAGTTTACTTGACGTATGTCAGTGCGTGAATATTTAATAAGGGATGCAGTAGCCAAGTTCGTGATTGGTCGTCTGATGCAGAACAAGCCTTTGTTTACGTTCCAGCTTCAAAGTATTTAATAATCCAGGGTTAAACGCGTTCTATCTAAGAGTGAAAACCTGATTAACCTTTACCTGGGCTTTAAAAAGAAGATCAGCCATCAAGTGTAATGTGAAAAGAGTCTAATGCGCATAGATAACTAAATTGCAGATGAAGGCAAGTGCATTGACTCTCTAAAGTTCAGACTGTCTCAAACCCCACTGAGACATCAATTTGCGACTGCACAAGCCTGTCTCTAAAAAAACAACAAACTGGATTTTGAGACATCCAACAATTCGCATGAAAGAAAATTTCCCAAGCATCACCTTTGATTTTTCATCCTGCTCTCCTTTTTGTTCAAAACCCCCGGTACGCAGTTGGTCAGTTCGGTCCAGTCCGCGTGTAAGCCACAACTCCAACCGGTGGAGAACCGTGAGAAGAGCCAGGTTTCTTTCCTATTGGGTCGGTAACAGGTACACTTCTTCTGTCCCGGTCTACAGTCGCACGGAACCTCCAGCCTGACGTTCTGGACCAGGTGCCTCCCGAACGTGGTCCCACCGGTCTTCTGGATGTGGAGGAACACGATCACATCATCCCCCTTGATTTCAAAATCCACGGTCCGCTCCAGATCCCTGATGGGGAAATAGAATTTCTTGACGTAATGGGGATCAGGAGTCGGGAAGAGATCCGCATCGTCTTCCAGCATGTAGCCGTGCGGAGAGCCGAAGTTCATCATCCCCGGAGCCACGTACTGATACAAAATCAGCATGAACAGAACCGAGCCGACAACGATGAACAGAAATTTACTGCTCCTCTCAACCATGTTCCTTCCAGTGAGGAGGTTCATGTGTTACCATTTCCCGGTTGACTGTTTTTTAGGGTGTCTCCATATAAACACTCGGCAGTCAGAGCATCGCGCGCTGAAAGTCAGTCGTCAGACGCATTGGGTCAGGTTGGACTCATTGCATCAGAAGTGTTGCGGTATAGGATCCAGCACGGCGCGGTCTCCCTCCTTTCACCACTGTATGACACGGTGTGTTTAAAGTCCTCGACACATCGCTGTGAAGCTCCTCCAGCAGCGTGCACAGCGACACCCACTTTCCCAACACGCGCGCGCTCCGCTTTCTCAAACACAAACGAGCGCTATTTTGTTGTTTCTAGTAAACGCCCGCGAAGCTTTTGGCATTATGATGTTTCTCTAAACTCAGCGGCGTTTCATCACAAGAACCAAAAATAATGAAAGGTACATTTAAATACTACTACTACAAATAATAATAATAATAATAATAATAATAATAATAATAATAATAATAATAATAATAATAATAATAATTATTATTATTATTATTATTATTATTATTATTATAAATGTAAATTATTATTATTATAAATGTTCAATGCCCAACAACTGCATTGTACAGCACTTTTTAAATAATAATACAGTTTTAGAAATGAAAAAAAAAAATTATATGCAATTATTTTGCAATTATTATATGCAATTATATTAAAATTATTATCAAGCAAGACACTGAAATTACAAATAATATATGCTATTTTAAGACATTATTTTATAATTATTTTATTGAAATTATGTAAAAAAAACTTTGTTTTTGATTAACACTTTATATATTGCTTATTGTGAATAAACAAGCAAAGTAAATAATAAGCAAAAATAAAAACAAAAAAACAAGGCAAAAGTACAACAAGTCCTACAAAATTACATAAAAATTACTATATTACATTTTAAAATGCTTTAAATGATAATGCAATGTTTTCAACTATTGTTTAGTCACTGAAACTACTTCATAGTGCTGGCTGAACATTCAATTGTCACAGATAAAACTCTGTGATAATATACAATTTCTAAAAGATAAACCTGCTAAAGTGCAATTTGTGGTTGAGCAGCAAAAAGTGTGAAACAAAGAACTTTTATGTGCATGTTCACCTCTGATAAGATAAAGGCGGTTATTCATTTGTAAAAGTAAAGTTTGCGTTATGAACAAGAAACCACTTTCTAACTTGAAGGCACACTGAAACATAAAATCAACACAGAAAAGCGTTCAGCTAGAACTCAGACAGGACTCCTTCACCACACGCTAGTAGGCAGTGTTTAGTGCAGTGCTATTGTATATAGAGACCTGTTTCATTTTTTTGCCTTTGACTTTCAGCTGTGCTTGCTTGCTTGCTTGCTTGCTTGATTGATTGATTGATTGATTGATTGATTAATTGATTGATTGATTAATTGATTAGGGGGATGTCTAAATTCTTAGTGTAGGGATGTTCGATCCTTCTAGGTTTTTATGACAAGATATTTTTAATTATGGATTGAAATAAGTCCTCTTGTAAACATAACTCATTGATACTTAAAAATAACTTTTGACATAACCTTGATGCTGCAGAATAAAATGCACATGCTTGCACCCCAAAAATCCTTGTCTTATATATATATATATATATATATATATATATATATATATATATATATATATATATATATATATATATATATATATATAAACAGCATCCTCTTACCTCTTACAGCAGTGGTTCCCAAACTTTTTTAGCAGAGACTGCTTTTTTCCTCTGAAAATATTGTAAGGCCCCCCTCAACATTCAATGATATTATCACTCATATAAGTTTGCAGTAAGGATGACAAAAAATGTTGTTTTCAAACAAATGGTATGTTTATTATTATATCTAGATATGTTTATGCACAAATAATAGGCTAATGCAAAATATAAAAGCAAAGCATCAGTAGGCCATTGTAACTGAAGCCTTTGGCCTTTAAATTGGCCCTATTAGTTGCCAATTATTTAAAAGTTTCTCGTCAGTAGCTGTAACATCCTTCATTTTATTTTGGGAGTGTGTCAATTATTTTGCCTTGCGCTCAGAAAATGCTCTGGTCTTGTCGCGGTATTGGGGATGAGCCATCTGCAAATGTCTTATTAAATTGGACAACCTCATCCATTCGTTAGCAAGAACTTTGGCGCAGATAATGCACTGTGGCTGGGTCAGGGACTCTTTGCTTCGAGAAAATGAAATAAACCATAGTTCAGGTACTGTAACTATCTTGGTATTTCCTGCACTTTGTGTTACCAGTATTTTTAGTACTGCGACCCAAAATGTTTAGAGCTTCCTCACCTGGGTCCAGAATGCTTGGGTCATAAGTATTATCTTCTGAAGGCAAATCAGTGAGAAACTACAAATTTGTCCATTTTTTGGTCAGCCAGGAGATAAAATAAACTAAGGCAACGTGATTCTCCTAATTGTCCACTGCTAAAAAAAATTGTAAAAATATGATGCAACCCCACACAGAGCTAGCTGAGGCCCCCTTGTGGGCTGGGACCCCCCTGTTGGGAACCGCTGCCTTACAAAACCCCTTCAAAATTCAGATATTCTTGATATTGGGTTAATTTATATTGTTGTATCAATGTCAATGTTTTCTCTGATATTGTAAAAATCATTTCTTAATCATGTTTGCCTCTTCCACAAAATTAAGGTGAACGAAAAAGATAATAATCCAAAATAAAAGTTTGATTTCACATAATATATGTGTGTGTTATATATACATTTATTATGTATATGCGATTAACACACTTACAAACAAAACTATATAAAATATTTTTGTTACATAAATATTTAAATCTATATATAATTTGTATCACATACACATATATTTTATATAGGTAGATATAAATAAACATGTGCTTAAATATATGAATGCGTGTATGTGTTTAAATTATGTAATAATTGAATGCCCAGCACTACATAAAACTATAAATGCAATATTACATTACTTAGCTAATCACTAACATTATTAATTTAGCTTATATCTCATCTGTCTTCTAAGAGAAAGCCCTGATCTTACAAATTATCGTACAAATTACCTCCAACAAATGATGTTTGCAACTTGTTCGCTTAAATACTGCAAGTCAAATTAACATATTTCTATTTACAACAACAGCAGCAGCCTGAAGAAAGCCTGTCATTTGATATCATGATTATTGCGCCTGGGGATCCGCTGCATAATGAAGCTATGGAAATGTCGTGTTGCGGCTGATCATTTGTCGTTGAGTAGCTTTACTAGGATGAATTGTAAAATGTGTCCTGCACTGTCTGTTACAGCTCCTTGTTACCTGGGCTCTGTCATGCATTGGGTTTTCAGTTTGCTTTTTTTTTCTTAGTACATTACCTAATATGCTACAGTGTAAAAATAAAATGCTGTTTTCCACACAATTCCTTCATGTTGTCCCAGCACAATTAAGTGTAACATATTAATGGTGGCTTGAGAAAGCCAACATACAATACTACATAAACTTAATATTCTTCTTCGTCTTCTTCTTCTGAGACTAATTTCTTTATGCATCTCCTCCTAGACTGTTCATGCAAACACCAAACTAACAACAAACCTCCAAACAGGTCTGACTCAGGTTGTTATATCTTTTCAAACTGATCCAACTTGCCAATTTGTCAAAAACTGTCCCGAAAATTGTGGAAAAGTCCCATTGACTTAACACTGGACAAAATTTGACCTCATAACTAAGTGCCAGCCTGTCATACATGCTTAAGTTTTGGCTCATTTAACTCAGACTACCAATCTGCCAATCACTGATGCTGTTTCAACTTTTAAGCCACATCCTAGCAACCACTTACGGCACCTTAGCAACTTTCCCATAGACTTCCATTGTAAAAAAATTGCCATTTACTTTACATTAGACATACTAACAACATACCAATCAATATTAGTAATGTACTAATTCATCCTAAAACATACTAACAAAAATATTAATCATACTAGCAACTATGTTAATTCATACTATAAACATACTAGTGGCATGCAAATTCATACTACATTCGCTAAAAACATGCTAGTTTATACTAGAAACACGCTAGCAAAATGCTAATGCCTAGCAACACCCTAGGAACACCTTAGCAACCACCTAGGAATGCCTTAGCAACTGCCTAAAAACCACTTAGAACACCCTAGCAACACCTTAGCAACCACCTAGCAACCACTTAGAACACACTAACAACCATCTGCAAACCTTTAGCAACCACCTTGCAACACCTTAGCAACTACTTAGCAACCACTCAGAGCACCCTAGCAACTACCTAACAACACCTTAGCAACCGCCTAGTAACACCTTAGCAACCACTCAGAACACCCTAGCAATCCTCTAGCAACACCTTAGCATCCACTTAGCAACACCTTGGCAGTTGCCTAGCAACCACTCAGAACACCCTAGCAACACCTTAGCAACCACCTAGCAGCCATTTAGAACATCTTAGCAACAACCTAATACCACATTAGAAACCAAATTGAAAAACATAGCATCCACCTAGAACACCTTAGTAACCACCTAGCAATGCCTTAGCAACCGCCTAGAACACCCTAGCAACCGCTTAGCAACCAAGCAGAACACCTTAGCAACAGTCTAACAATGCCTTAGCAACCTCCTAGAACATCCTAGCAACTGCCTAGCAATGCCTTAGTAACCACTCTGAACAACCTAGAAACACTTTAGCAAGCAACATGCTAATCCATGTAGAAACATGCTATCTATATATGCCAACTGTTTCAAACTTCTTAAAGTACTTCGATGATTTAAACTTTAAAGTTACTCCAAACTTTCAAAAGAGGGTTTCTCAAGACTTTTCTAGTTGTTTTTACAAATTTAAGCGGATTGAACATAAAACAATTAAGTTGTCCCAATAAAACTCTAGAATTGTGTTGATTCGGCTCATTTTAAATAAGTATTTTGAACAAGCAGCTACTGTAAAATCATTTTTTTGAGAGTAGTGCCAACAGGAGTTGGTCTTGTATAATATACAGAATATAAGACAGTCAGAGTTTGACACAGCAATGAGACAGCAATAATCTGAGTCAGTCACTATTTTAACAGACAAAATAAGTTTTTTTTTTCTTCACCCAGCATGATATAAATTATATATGCGGTCACAAGAGGCCAAAACCCCAAGTGAGATCTGTACTGCAGGGCGATCAAAATAGGCCGACTTCACTTTTCAGGACTGGTGAGGCAGACATGGGGATTTACTAAAGA